CTTATGGTGCACAACTTATCGCATGGAATCCTTCTTATCAGTGTTATCACATGGCACCGTTCTTATCACGTGACGCCCATCTTATCACATTCCGCCCTTCTAATCGCATGACGCTTTTTTATCACATGGCGCCCTTATAATCACAGAGCACACTTCTTATCACATGGCGCCTTTTTGATCTCATGGCGCGATTCTTATAGCATCATTGAATGGCGACCGTCATATCGCATAGAGACTTTCATATCACGAGGCGCCCATCTTACCACATGGCACCCTTCTTAGCGCATGGCGCCCCTCTTATCACATGGCGCCCTTGTTATCACATGAAGCTCTTCTTATCAAAAGGCGCCCTTCCTATCATATGGTGCCCATCACATAACATCTTGTGCTGCCTGAGATCAGGTTGCAGTCTCTTGTCTGGCGTGAAGCATGGAGCCTTGTGTCTCTTTTTTTGTTCTGTGTTGTGTTGTATTGCGTTGTTCTGTGTTGTATTGTATTGTTCATTGTTGTATTACATTGTTCTGTGTTGTGTTGTTCTGTGTTATGCTGCGTTGTGTTGCGGTGTTGTGCTGTGGTGTTGTTCTATGTTTTGTTGTTATAGTTTTATTGGGTTGTTCTGTGCTGTGTTGCGGTGTTTTGTTGTGTGTTGTGTTGTGGTGTTGAGTTGTGCCTCTTGCCTCTGGATCTTCTTTTTTCGACATTTAATTTTTTCACTTCTGCTGTCGCTGGCTTACACAGGTATAGTGCAGTTACTATGAATTTTAGATGGGCTGTGGTCTTCTACAATTGTGATTGCAGAATATGTGTTGGAAGAGTCATCACCGTCTGAAAATACAATATAACTGCAGGAGAAAACTCATCATCTATTTGTAAACAAATATTATTTAATGAGGATTAACTTTACTACCTGATAATGCACAAATATATAAATATACTATATTGCCGTCACTGCAAAATAGAATAAAAATCTATGAGTTGGTTGTATCATATGAATATATATGGATTGCGTAAGTAAGTAACTGACGTCATGCTTGCAGACTTATACCCTTATTTTTGGCTTATTGCCGAACGCAAAAGAAATAACTTTCTCACCTCCGGATTATGATTCAAGAGAGTCCACATCACTGATATAAGCAGTGGATGGGTTATTGATGTTGTCAGCATCACTAGAAGTTTCGTCATCGTCACTTACATCCAAGAAGAGAGCCTCCAGAAATTACTTCTCAGACAAATAATGCGGCATCACCTGGTGAAACAACATTTATTACATACATTACACATTTGGAAGATGCATAGCTGCTAATCTGATTAGGAATACATTTTTCTAGATATATAATAACTAAACATACCTATTTGAATGCATGAAAAAACATAAAATGGCAGAAAACTACTGTGTTGTATCATTAATGATACACATACATATGATGCAGAAAAGTTGCCCATATGCGCCTTGTATCAGAAATGATACAACGACATTTTCTCTTATTGAACGAAAAAAAATACTTGAAAAGATTTATTGAAGGCTTCCCAATAAACATGACAACATAAAAAAATAGTGTTTATTTTTTTCTTACCTCTGAGAGAAGCGTAGGAGCCAGAATGAACGTAGAAATATGGGGCTTCCGCACACTTCCACCGACCACACCTTGTCGCTCACTGGCGTTCATGTTTACCGCACAACACAACACCGATGTAACTCGTTTCGTTCTCGTTCTATTCCGTATGAATCGAACTTGATACTAGATGTGCCGCAGGCAAGTAGCCTGATTACCTTAGCATTTATAGGCGAAAATTCGGTTTGTATCATTTTTGATACACCGTGCATTTAAGGGTTAAATGCATTTCTAGCAGTGGTAATTTCCTCAACATTGTGTTAAAAATGCCACTACCAGTTTTTTCATTCCGAAGAAATGATTTCAGCTGGTTTAAATATTCACTGTTATCGGCTGATAGTAGCTCAGGATAGTTTATTAATGTTTTTTTATTGTAGACTATCCTTTTTATTGGATTATTCTATAAAGACTATCATTTTAAATTTCAGTTGTTTAATGCTAGTGTACCATCTGTTGATATATGTCTTTTGTCATCATCACCATTCAGAGCAATTTTTTTGATCTCTTTCGTATACAATTCATGATTATCACTTTGGATATTATACATTGATTTATTTATAGTCTCATTATTCAATGCTCTTTTACATTCATCCATGGTTGTATTCCTTTCAATACCATTTCTCTTTATACCTTTAGCTTTCTTAGCTACAGAACACTTTCTTCGATAACAATACAGCTTCGCTCGAAGACCTACAAATTCTTATATGGGAATGCTGCTAGTTTCATTTTTCATTTTACCGATTATTTTTTTGGATGTTTTCAAACAGGTATTTTTAAAATTCTCAAACACCTCACTTAATTACAAGGTATCAACTTTAAGATAGAGATTATGATAATCTTTGAAAGTTTTGCATTTGAATACATCCGTAACTTGTTTAGCATGTCTATATTCTTTATCAGATATATACTTATCATTTAATTTGTTATAGAATTCATCCCTCGATGGTAAACTAATTGAATTCATTTTATCATAGGTATCCACGTAATCGTATGGATTACATGGATAATCGTATGGACATCCATGTTACTAACTTTACAGTGATTCATGCTGACAATATTTGCTTCCATTTTACTTAAGAAATTTATCAAAAGAGATTTCGTATTCAATGTGTGATTTTCAATATGACTTACATCAGATGATTCGTCAGCTCTCATTTTATATAGAAAAAAAAAATTAAAAGCACTTTGAAAAATTATTGATTTGATCTCTTTGATAAAATTAAAAAAAGAGTAATAAAACACAACATTTGAGATGTAGCTTGATACTGAATGTGGGTGATGGTGACTCGATGCTTGAATTGGTGATGCCTGCTCGTTGGCTTGAGTCGGTTGCGTGCTGTTAATAATGATGCGTTATGGTCGGTGCGCGTACCTGAGCCTGAGCTGGAGCAGCGCTGGCCGGATATGCTCGGCGAGCGCTAATGACTTAATTGGTGGTGCGCTCGCTGTATCCATCTCCTCTACTCTGCTTCCATATCCATCTCCCGTGTTTCCAATTTCCACTCATTGGCAAAATGGGATGATAACGAAATAAATTCGTGATATCCCTTTGATTTTTGAATAGTTCATGAAGAGAAAGGGATATGTATTTAAGTTTCTGAAACCGATATCCGAGCTTGCCAATCCGTCGAAGTCAATTTGCGTAGGATATGCTGATGCCTATATGGTCAGCTAACAATGTTTGTAAGGTAGAGCTTTTTTCTCCGCTCACATATTCATTGAAATGTTTTTCACACAGAAGGTGTAAGAAATATCCGAAGAGCATTTGATCAGCGAGGAGAGCTTCCTGCTGTGATTTTATTGCATTTTAGATCTCACCAAATAACCGAAAATTTCGTCATAATTATCACATGTATGAGCAGGAATTTTAATACTTCTGTAATGTTAATTGTCAAATACATGTTTCTTTAACCAATTATTCAGCTCCATCGGTGTTTGAAATCTGCTTCTCTTCATTACATTGAAAATTTGTCTAACAAAAACACGAAGACTTTTTGGGATGTGTATTTTATCTTCCTCGAACACATTTTTCACTGTTTGATATGATTGAGGGTCTCTTAACGCCTCATCGATCATACCTACAACTTGAATCAGTTTAGTCAGTGCATTTCTCAGCATATTTTATTCCACAGAAATTATGTCCGCCATCACTTTTTTCCTCGAATTTTCACAAAAATGTACTTTAACTCATGTGTATGAGAATGGTGATCTGATGCAGTCGTTCTCCGAGGTGGTAATGTCTCACAATGAGCATGAGCACCTCTCTATAAAGTGTTACTCGCGTGATATTAAATAGACAACACCCATTCCCTGTGACCGATTTAACGAGCTTTGTGGGGGGCTCCGGAAATAACTCGTGGGAAAGGGGCGTTTGCTCTATATAAATAAATGAATTGAGCTGGTGATATACCCTGGCAGTACGCTGTATCAGCATTCAGGATTACACTGTAAGAAATTATATATTCCACAGAAGTATTTTTCAGGTAACCGCTCTAAGTTATTCTCGGCTAAAGAATGTGCTCAATTGGAGTAAATGGTCGTTAACTCATGATTCGGGAGTAATTGCTTAATTTTGTTGGGCAAGATTCGGGGTAAATGATCGGTACCCTGTTAAGCTGTTTATGTAAATTCGGGGGTAATTGGTTGTAATAATATTGTAGGAGGTTTTATTCAGGGGTAATTTGTTAATTTTGTTGGATGAGATTCGGCGTAAGATTGTGGTAACCTATGATTTAAGCTGTTTATGCCAAGTGCCACCATAAGCTCGGTATGCTATCTACTGATTTAAATTCAAGGGAGAGAATGATTAAGAAGAATCGTAAGCTTTTAAATAGTTATTGCTACCTTAGGAAGAGTACATAATATTTATGTCTAGTTCAATAGAGTGTGAGTGTATTCGAGTTTGATCGTTTGCGGGGTCGTAATAATCAGCCGTTGACGATACGGAAAGTTGAACTTCCAACCGTGATTATTGATTATTTTCTGTGATACTGATTATGCACTTCCATCGATATGATAAAGAAAAATAAAATATTGTTAATGAACGAGTTTTTGTAAAATTCTTATATTTTCTAGGCCAATTTTCATGGAAAAGCAAAATTATTTGTTCATTGTCCCTTCATTTCATGTTCATGTTGACTAATTCTGATCCATGACTTGATCTACATCTGTATTTCAAATATTGAAGAGTCATCGTCGCAAGAATAAAATATTTATGTTGAATTATATCTCGTTTTTGATCGGTATTACATTGATTAGAAACTCGCCTGCCTAATAGCGTTCACCGCTCCTATAAGTACGGCACAAAAATCTTGAACATCTAATAAAGAATCCTCACATTTTCCTGGACTGCTTTCAATTATTACAATTAACTCGAGGCTACCCCAGGTGAGTGCAAGGCGAAGTGCTTCGTGCTGCCCAAGTGCAGCGCTGCGTCGTATGACATTACGACGTCGGTGTGCAGCATGACGTACGACGCTCCTTGCAACGTCACGACAACATTTGCTCCTGGCGTCATCAGCCTCTTCAAGTTCGGTGAGATCTTATGTTGCTGAAGTATTATTTGTTGCAGGAAGCTTGGAGTAATTTGTCGAGAATTGACGTAATTATTGTTTGTACAAGTCTTTCTGAAGAAATGTTAGCATTGTGTACTAGAGACTTCACGCTTCTTTTTCGTATACTGACTGATCCTTGTTTGCAGTTATTCGCGAAGCGTTCGTCACCAAAGGCAAAACCTTCAACGGATCTCCCGACAACCTGAAGAAGATGTGCGGTGCAGAAGGCGGGGTTCCGCTCATCATCAACACCAAGCAACTGCTTCGAGAAGCTAGGCAGCTCGTCGCTGGTAATATACTTTGGCCATATTTTCAACTTGATTCACATGACAACCTGATGGAGGAATGCTATGAGTCATTCAAGGTTATGTCAAGCTCAACCATAAACATTGCTTGAATGGTTGATAGCGGAATATTCAGTTCTTCTTCGTCTTTCTACGAATGACCATCCATCTTTCTTTGGAGTTCGTTTGTCAGAAAGTGTTATTAACCGTCAATTATGAACATTAATTAAAAACATTTGATTTGATTCAGATCCATTTGATTTACATACAATAGGTTTAAACCAAAATGAGTTAGCAGTTTGCTACGGCTGAGTTTAAAAAATGAGTTAGTTAGGGCTAATCAGAAAAATCATCTTCTTGCGTTCCCAATGTTCAGTGAATGAAAATGAACTTGTACCTAATTTTCTTAGGGATCATTTGCAGATGATGGAATATTTACATCCCTTGTAGGTACAACAGTCTGACCACAACAGTGAGATGAAGTAAATTGGCACTAATTTCTTATGGCTTACTTGCAGACCATGGAATATGGCTCATGTGGGGTGCAAATCGGGTGGCCTGGCTTAGCGCTTACCAAACTCCCAAGTACGGTCTATACCACTGGCCCGACAACTCCCCGGTGATTGGCAGCATCTTCACTGCAAACGACTTCTTTCCTGCTTTACTCGCCGATAAAATGGAAGTATCCGTGCTCCGTGACGATGGAAAAATTGGCACGTTATCAGAACAACCGCTCTTCATCAGTGCTCTGCCCGTACTGTGCGCAAGGACTCAGTGAAAAGTCTCTGAAGTATATATTCATTGTGATTGCATTTAACACGTTAACTGCGGCCCGACCCACCAGGAATGCCAGATGGCCTGAAAACGGCCAAGTCCGACAAAAAGACCTATAATTCAATATATACGAGCAAATTTGAAGGTTCAATTCAAAAATTAAATTTTAATTTGTTTCAATTTTTTAAATTTAATAAGGAAGTACCGACATTATTAATTTTTGTCGGACAATGCAATTAAAAAAACTGAGTCGCCGACTTTGCAGGAAAAAAGACCCTTCAACCCACTGGTGGGTAGTGCGGCACTCAACGTGTTAAGTTTATCTTAGAATCTGGACAACAGTCAAATCCTCCTTAGAATCCTCGTTCCAACAGTCAAAATCGTATTCAAGGAATTGGTTAAAACGAACTAAACGCGACAGTGACCAATTACACGTCAAAATAATACCAATGGAATTTTACTTCTTTAGTTACTCTATTGTATATTGCGGGGATATTATATGAATAATTGTAAATTCACCTTTGACAACGATGACTATTGTCCTTATCTTATGTTTAAAATTCGCGAAACAGGTATATTGTTTCAAAATTAAATGTAGCGATGACTCATTTATACTTCATCACGGAGTATAAATCATGCGAATAAAATAACATTTGTTTATTCCTGATAATAATTGAGCAGTGCTACGGTGGAGGAAACTAATATACATAGAACGCTGTTTAGTTTAAGTTTCTTTATAAAAGATTAGTGTCAGCTAATAATCACTATAAGTCCCACCGGGGGCCCGGAGCAGCTACCGCTACATGTCTATATAGTGACTTGTAGGGACAAACGCTCTCCTGCACGCTAGCTCTCGCCACTCATGGTGAGCTTGGGTTGTGGCGTTGCAGTTGAGTTAACTACATATTACTTCGAGTACTACAACACTGTGTTCAATATGATACTCTTAGAGAGACATTAATATATCGGATGTGGATATCCGTGAGAATTTTGCTCTAGCCAGGCATCGCAGCTCGCAAACTAGGATAGAACATAAATGATTAATGGTCGTTTTGCACGTTTTTTGCGCTCAGCGTTTGCATGTCGTTTGCCCGGAGTCTACATCCAGTGGTAGCCGACAGTGTGCACATTATCTTTCTACTTTGTCTGTTGTCTGCACTCGGATTTTTCTCGATGTTTACAGTCACTGTTAGCACATTCTGGCCGCCAACAGCTTTGACTAGTGAAAGTATTTGGCAGCACTGATTTTACCAGTGAAAAACACTGTAGAACGAAATACTTGGAATCTGCTATGAAAGTTATTGTATCGACCTTTATTGCAATTGATGAGACTATAAAAAATCAAGCACAGTGGACAAAAAGTAATAACATTTTTATAATTAGCTGGCTTGAACTTTAAAACTTGATGTGTTAATTTAAAAAACTGTTGGGGACCTCTAACTGTTGTTAGAAAAAACTAAACTAACTAAAAAACTGTTGGGGACCTCTACTTCACTGTTAAAAATTTTCGTTGGTTCTTGATTCTTTGACTAAATCAACATTTCAATTTGATTTCCAAACTTTCTTGATATTGAGTATTAGAAATATTTTTGAGCTCATACTAAATGCGCAACAGTTGAGCACGTTAACCTAAATACCGAATGTAAAATAATAATTATTTATTATTTGTTAGGTTTGATGTAGACATTTAATGCGTTAATTTAATTAACTGTTGCGTGTAGGGGTTTCCTCTTTTTTAATATATGTCAATCTATGGTCTTAGCCGAAACATAGATTTCAATTTTTTTCAAACATCCTTAGTGCTGAATATTAGAATTATTTTTGTCGTGAACTACCGTCGACCAAACGATCTGGGGTTAAAGTTGTGTAATGATTGTAACAATGATAATACGATTTGCCTTTTCCAAGGAATATATTAAAAAATTAAATTATTTTTTTTTGGTATGAATAAATTATTTTCGCTGAAACTAAATGCACTGAAATAATCTTATCGTAGAATTTCTATAATTATTTTATTATAATGACTGCAATGTGTCTGGACAGATCATTATTTCACCTGATGTTCTTTAGACCGATTCCGATCATTAAGATGTTCATCGGGTCAATTCTAATGAATAAAATATAATTAGAATTAACGAGATTTATTTTCCTTCGTGTTATATCCTTCATATTGTATGAAGTCGTAGTAACTAAGTCAGTCTTGGTTGTAAAATTTCTCAAAGGTTTTACTGAACTTTACTGTAACGGAGATGAGAAATTTATTGACCCATTGGTTCAGTAGATTTACTGGTTGGAAGGATATGGCATCATGAAATATTAAAATGTTTTACCCGATTCAAATTTTCATTTGAATCTTCATACATTCAAATTACTCAAATTGTGCAATATATTTTTTTAAAAATATATTGCACATGATTGAAGAAAATAATTTGGATTGGCGCCAAACGACTTAAGGGGAGCGTCTACCCTAAAATTTGAAAATTTTTACTTTTTCGGTTTTCATACTAATTTTAAAGCTGACATTCTGCCCTATCCAACGGTACCACTGCCATCTCTCTACGTTGATTTATGATTTCACGACATTTCATGAAAGGGGGGCGGGTGGGGGAGTTCTTTAAGTAATTAGATAGGAACTAATTAACTGATGAGCTCTTTATATATTGTGTCTACTTGAGTTGTGCTGCAGTTACGTGTTTAATCTCATCTTAAAGCTGACATTCTGGCCTATCCAATGGTACCACTACCATCTCTGAACGTCGATTTCTACGTACACGACACTTCATGAAAGGGGGGCGGGGGGGGGAGTTCTTTCAGTAATTAGATATGAGATAATTCGCTGTCCACCACTACATATATAGTGTTTTTGTGAGGTCTGACTCAGTGTGCCTCCGGGCTTTGTAGGGAGAGATGCGCATGCAGTTGCTCCCATCATCCTTGATTGGAATCAAACTCCAGAAACGTTTAGTTTGGTATCTATGCTACATTGAGCGCATATTGTGATGCGCGCGGGACTTTGTCGCGCTCTCCTCAACATTCACACTTATTGTCACGGAAAACCTATCTCCTCCTAGAGTTTTGAAGCTACAACAATGATATATATACCATTCGATTTGCAAAGGAGAGATCTACAGAATTGCGTATGGATTTTTGTTATTTCGTTATAGTTTGAGAAATATTTGGCAAAAAGGGGGAGGGGAAGGGGGAAAAATAAAAAATTTTACGAAAAATGACCCCACATCCACAAAAATTAGAATTTCGAAAAACGTATACGCAATTTTATAGATATGGTCTTTACGCATCGAATGATATGTCTCTCGATGTTGTAGCTTTGAAAATCCTAGGAGGAGATAGATTTCTTGAGGACCCCCTTTTTTGCCGTTTTCTATGAATTTCACGTTTTCTATCAATTTTTTGGGAAAATTGACACGAACAAAAAAGTCTTAGATTTTTGTTTTACACATGTGTACCAAGTTTCAAAGAAATCCGTCCGTAAATGAAAAAGTTAGTTTTTGACCCAGACGCTCCCCATAACTAAAAATTTCATGCATAAGCTTCAATTATATTATCCAGCAAGGTTGTGCTCTAATTAACTTTTAATCCTAACCATAAAAAAGATAATTTCATGAAAGAATGCGGGTGAATTGTGCACATTTATATGTTTGAATCTAGCGATTAAATGGCTCTTATTTTCCAACAAAGCAATTTGTCCGGACTGATGCAGTCGCGGCTGCATTTGACGGCAATGTGTACCATGCGCTACAAGGGCTACCCGGACGCATACTAACTTTCCCCGACTCCATGAGAGTGAAACAATTATCAAAGTTAAGCGAGAATCACTGATAGGAGGCAATTATTCCTCACATTATATCACTTTTTACGGAAAAATATTATTTAAATTGCATGGTGAATTTGGATTCAATGCATTCAATTCATGAACCTAATACTTATACAGCCTTAAAATTAAAATATTGCATTCGCGGAACGAAGGTCTGAAATCAATCAAGTGATTCGAACTTTATGTTTCGCAAATATAAATAATTCTGAAATTCTGCGTATTACACTCAATCAGACAATAAATAAACGCGTTTATTTTGGTCTTGAAAACCGTCATATCCTCTCAATCCTACTTAATTTATCAAAAGAGATGGATTAAATTGTTTGGTATTTCATGAAATCAACGGATGGCTCCATTGCCCGTTATTGTAATTCTATTCTGAATTTATTGCATTGTATAATGTATAATGCATGTATTGTCCGTTAATAAATCTATCATATACCATTGTTATGATTAACTATCCAAATTCAACGTGAAGTTTAGAACAATGATTGTCTTTGCCCGTTAACGTCAGTTCATGGAGCACGTATCCCTAACTTTTAGCACAGCTAATGGCTAAGTGCCTGTCACGACCATAGGAAGACGTTCAACTGGGCAGGACAGCTCTCTTGTCATTAGCTGGGTTCCAACTGTAGGTTAAATACTTAAACACGTTTGCCTTATAACTTACATTGCTTATGTAGGGTAATGACTAATTACACTGAACCCACTACTGAGGTGCGTAACATCTTCACAGCTTTGGCATAAGGTCGATTATTTTCATGTTAGCAATGATCCTCAATCATGCTCTCCAAGAGGTCATTTTTAACTATTAATACAATTGTTTTGTAATTTATACATTTAGGTTCTCTTTTGCCAGGTAAAATCTAACTGAATCATCTGCCTATCAGCGCTGCCTGCATGGCAAGCGTCGGTTCAATTAGGCTCATACCAAAATGGTCACCTCAGTTTAAGTAGCTCTAGAAGCTAAATTTAACTTATGGAAGTCAAATTCACGGTTAGTTGAATTATAATGTTAATTATTCCAAAATTCAATGACAACCACACCGCATAAATGAACAAAACACCGTTGCCCATAGTTGTCTCCATGACCCGCAGATTTAAATAGAAAATCCGCTATATTTGTGGCTAATCCTTCATCATAATCCACCATATCCACCATATTTGTG